GGAAAGTGATAATACTAATTTTTTTTTAAAATTCTATATCCTAAATCGAAAACTCATCAATCCATAAACATTTATTATATTTCTACTTTGATAACACTAATATATTTCAAACCCTATACCATATATCTTATACCCTAAACATTCAATGAATGATCATAACTTTTTTTTTTAAACATATTTAGAGATTGATAAGACAAAAAAAAACTCGGTTTTAATTATTGAATTATATGAAACTTGTTTACAAATCGGTTTCACACGAGAAATTCCATAAACAAGAAGAGGAAATTGACTATTTACTATGTAGTATTTACATTCCACTAAAGAAGATCACATTAAATCATATGATAGGGAGTTAAGAAGCTTCAGATTTGATTTTGACATCACATTTGATTTTCTAAAGAAGTCTTTAGCCAACTTCAAGTTAACAAGCTCGAATTGATCTTCACTGCTATTTTGTAGGCTGCATTTGTTCTTGCTTCTTTGCTTTCTGAGAATCCTGCTTCTTCACTCTTTCCGGATGTCTTAGTACCAATTCTGCAATTTTCTGCATCAGTTTCTTCCCTGCAAATATATGTATATCAACACAAGAATTTCAATTTACTGAACGAAACAGAGCAAGTATAGTGTTTTAGTTTCGTTATAGCTCTTATCATTTCATTGTAACTGGAACAAAGCGCATTATTTGTTTCCTGCATAAAGATATAAAACTTGAAGAAATGAAAAATCAAAAGATATTCACCTGAGTTTCCTTCGTGTACTGGTTTCGTCGTTGTTCTCCAGTAATCGTGTTGAGCCTTCTTAAGACCGTAACAAGGCCTCGATGAACCGTAGTAACCATCTCCCAACTCCCAAGCCAGTCATCTACACGAGTATGACACTTATGATCAATCAATTTAAAGGTACATACATATATTAGTCCCCCAAGATATAAAATTCTATCAAAACTCTGGGCTCATTCTGAGAATCATGGGGAATGCGAGTTGAATCTTTGACATTGTGATTATGTTCTTGGCTTGTTCTTTTTTCTTGACTCTTGAGAGAGTATAACTCAAATGGATTTCGAAAAATGTGATCACTTTCACAACAAGAAGCTACAAACTTCAAAAATCTTTCCATCTTCCTCCATTATTACTCCAAGGAACATCTCAAAATCACTATGTTTTTCAACGATATCTGCTGATGTAGTTGAAATTATCGATTTTTAAAACCAAGCTAACAATTTTACAATCCAATACGACAAAATCCAAGATCAAGCTAACCTTTTAGAGAAATCGATGAAAAGGATTATAATCGAGAAAAGGTTTTGTGTCGTTGACCAATGTGGAGCCGCCGCCGTCGGAGAGATCGGAGAAAATGTTAACCTTCTTCCTCCTCTGTGAGAGGATTAGCTTCGGAGTTATGTTCCAGGAAGCTACGACCAGGTAATGGCGGGAGAGGACGGATCTCCGGTTTGACAAAAGTTTTTACTAATCCATCTGAGATGGAAATGGTGGAATCAATGTTTTGCCAAAGTTTTTACTAATCCATC